CTAATATTCAGAATAATATAAAGAACTCTTATAACTCAATCAGAAAGACAAGCAAAGCAACCCAATTAAAATATGGATTTGATTAGACATTTCTCCAAAGAAGATATATAAATAGCTAATAAGCACATGTCCATCTAATCACACCCACTAGGGTTGCTATAATCACAAAGGCATAATTATCAACAGACTTGAAGATATATTTTCACACAAAAAAATATATACATGATTGTTTATAGTAGCATTTTCTTAACAGCCCAAAACTGGAAAAAACTCATAAGTGACTGTGAACTAAGGAATGCTTGATAATATGTGATATAGTCACATAATAGAATATTATTCAGCCATAAAAAGGAATAAGGTACTGATAAATTCTACAATACGAATGAGCTTTTAAAATATTATTTTGCTTCGGCAGCACATATACTAAAATATTATGTTAAGTAAGTTCATGAATATGAATGTCCAGAATAGGCAACCCAGAAAGACAGAAAGCAAATTAGTGGTTGCCACGAGTTGAGGAGGATACTAGGTAATGACTGCTCAAAGAGGGGAGGTGGGTGAAGAAAACATTCTAGAATTCAATAGCAGTGATGGTTGAACATTCTGAATGTGATTTAAAAAACCACTGGGTTGTACACTTTAAAAGGGTTAAGATGGTGAATTCTATGTTATATGAATTTACCTCAAAAAAAGATTAATTTTATTAATGAAATTTTTGATCATGTGAATTATAGCAATATCAATACAATGTGCTATGATTCAGAAATCAATTAATTTGCTAGAGATTGGAGGTAGAAAGAGAAGTAGATTGGGAAAGCTTTTAAGAAGTTGGTTAGATCTGTTACAGGCCTTGTAGGATATGCAAAATACTTGATATGATAGGAAGAAAGGTTAAAACACAGGAAAAATCATGACTTACTTAGTAAATGAATAGTTCATTTAATAAAAGTAAGATAGAATTATGAATAAAAGGCAAGAAAGGTGTGTTGGAAGCTTATATGCAAGATTTTGAATGTGAAGGCTTTGTTTAACAAGTAGTAGAACTTCAAGGAAGGTTTAGCACACACTGAATTTATTACAGCAGCACTTTAGGCCGCCTTGTTGAAACAGAGAAGCATGTTTCTACTATAATAGAGCTAAAATCAGTGGTAAAGAAGACTTAAACTAATGGATAGGAATAGAAAAGAAGAATGGACTTGAAAGAACTATACAACTACCTAAATGTGGTGCACAACACACAGGTGTACCTGGAGGTGACTAGGAGAATATCATCAGATACTGGGATGGTTGTTGGTAGGTACTTTAGAAATAGATGCCCAGTTTCAAATCCTGGCTCCACTATTTATTATCTATGTGACCCTTGACAAATCTACCTCATCTCTCAAAAATACATCTCTAAACTAGGAACTAGAAAACCTAACTCATAGGTCCTAGGCAAGGCATGGATTCAGCCTATTTCTTTTCCAAGTATATGGTGAACTGCCCAACATGTACTACTTTCTCCCATGGATCCAAAAGTGCTAACCTTCATCACATATTAAGGGTATAGATACACATGTGCATCTGTTCCCAGACTCATCAATCTGTTATCTGTCTAGTTGTTTGCCAGAGCAGATAGTGAAATTCCATAGAATAATAACTTTTTGTTTGTTTTGTTAATCTTCACCTGAGGATATTTTTTCATTGATGTTTTTAGAGAGAGTGGAAGGGAGGGAGAGGGGAGAAAGAGAGAGAGAGAGAGACATCAATTGGTTGCCCCCTGAACACGCCCTGAACTGGGCTGGGGGTAGAACCTGCAACCCAGGTACACACCCTTGACAGGGAATCAAATCCATGACCCTTTGGTGCACGGGCCAATGCTCTAAACACTAAGCCACACCAGCTAGCGTGATAGCTTTCTGAAAAAACAGCAAAAGAATATAACAAACAATTCACTGAGAAATGCAAATGATCTATAAGCATAAAATAATATACAATTTCATTCGTAACTAAAGAAATACAAATTACAATAAGATGCCATATTTCACCTACTATATAGACAAAAAATAGAAAGATCAATAATGCTTGTCATTGTGAGGAAGAATATTATCACTAGCCACTGCATACATTGGCATATTTTAAAAATAAACTTCACAACCACTACCAACATTTTATTAATTTATTGTTTTAATCCTCACCTGAGGATATTTTTCTATTTATCTTCAGATAGAGTGAGAGGGAAAGAGAGAGAAACATTGACATCTGCAACCGAGACATGCAACTCATTGGTCAATGGGTCGACGCTCTAACCACTGAGCAAAACTGGCCAGGGCACCAATTGCCAACATTTTAATTGTATATACCTTTTGATCCAGTGAATCAACTTACAACATTTTTTTTAATTTCAGGGGTTTTTTTTGTTTTTAAGATTTTTTTATTGATTTTTAGAGAGAGAAGAAGGGAAGAGGAGGAAAGAGAGAGAAAAAAATGGATAGGCTGCCTCCTGCACGCCCCCTTCAGGGTATCGAGCCCACAACCTGGGTATGTACCCTGACAGGAAATTGAACCAACAACCTTTCGGTGCACAAGATGACAACCAACCAACTCAACCACACCATCCAGGGTCAGGATTTTATTTTATTTTATTTTATTTTTTATCCTCACCCGAGGATATTTTTCCATTTTTTGTACAGATAGAGTGGGAGGGAGAGAGAGGAAGGGAGAGAGAGAGAGAAACATCGATGTGAAGAGACACATCGAGTGGCTGCTACCCACACGACCAACCAGGGCCGGGGACAAACTGCAACCGAAGTACGTGCCCTTAGCGGGAACCGAACCCGGGTCTCTCCGGACCGCAGGCCGACGCTCTAACCGCTGAGCCAAACCGGCCAGGGCAGGATTTTATTGAATGAATATATTCACAGCAATAAAACCAAGAATATTCATCAGGAGAGAACTGATTAAATAAATGATGGTATAATAATAAAATTAAATACTATGTAACTATAAAAAAGAATGAGGTAAATCCAAACTACTGAAATAAAAAATATATCCAAGACATACTTTCAAGTAAAAAAACAATTTCCAAGGCTGGATGTATAGTAGAATTCCATCAGCAAAAAGAAAAGTGGTAGAGAGAATGTTTGAAGAAGTAACGGCTGAAAACTTCCCAAATATGATCAAATACATGAATATAAACATCCAAGAAGCTCAATGAACTCCAAGTAAGATTAATTCAAAGTGACCCATACCAAAAACATAACTTTCAAATGCTAAATACAAGAAAATCTTAAAAGCAGCAAGAGAGAAGCAACTAGTCACATATGATGGATCTAGATTATCAGGAGATTTCTTATCAAAAACTTTGGAGGTCAGAAAGCAGTGGGCCAATTTATTCAGAATTTGTGTACAACGATGTTCACAGAGAGGTGTTTAAAATGGTCCAAAAAAATGGCAACAAATCAAATTTAAAACAAAAAAGAACGAATAAATTACTTGTGACTTATGCATGCTTCATATTAATTAATTTACAGCAGTGAACTGAACTATAACTATGTACATCTACAGCGATAAAATTCAAAATGTTAAATAAAAACAAGAAAGAATACATTCAATAAATAATGAAGCATACCCTGCTTTGATATTTCAAGTTACCACCAGTAACCCTGACCCTTCTTCTCCTATTCTACTTTTTTTTTAATCCTCACCCGAGGACATATTTTTCCATTTTTTGTTCAGATAGTGTGGGAGGGAGAGAGAGGGAGAGAGAGAGAAACATCCATGTGAAAGGGACACACCGAGTGGCTGCCACCCACACAACCAACCAGGGCCAGGGACAAACTGCAACCAAGGTACGCGCCCCTAGCGGAAACTGAACCCGGGTCTCTCTGGACCGCAGGCTAAAGCTCTAACTGCTGAGCCAAACCGACCAGGGCTACTTTTTTTTTTTTTAACCACAGCTGTTACCTTCTTGGCCATCCTCTAAGCTAAGAATGGGTCTTTGATATTTGTTAATTGTTCAATAATGCAGCCAAAGCACATAAAACAGTACCTGGTATCTAATATTTGCTCAATAAGTATTTGCTGAATGAATTAAATAATTCCAATTATATAAAGTTGAAAAACAGGTAAGCTTAAACACCCTATTATTTACAGATGCATACAGATAGTAAAACTATAAAAAATGTAGGGTAATGAAAAAAGCCATGGTATAAGTAAGCTCTGGCATAGGGAAAGCAAATACAACACAAAAAAATTTCTCATTCTTAACCTGGGCTTTCAAATGTGTATATAATTATATGTATACATGTATATGTTATACACACACACACACACACTCACACACTCAGGGGTGGGCAAAAGTAGGTTTACGGTTGTTTGTATAGAAAAAGAGGTGCAGATTATGATTACTACAGTAGCTTTATTAACTCAAAAGAATGTCACAATGGCACAGTGTATTTAGGTACAATCTCGTAAGTGCTCAAATTGCTGGCCTTCATTATTCACACATTCTTGTACTCTACTGCTTATTTATACTCAAGGATGCTTTGGCACAGAGTTCATTTTAAACCTACTTTTGCCCACCCCAGTATATATATATGATATACATCACAGCAAGAAAAAATGTCAGAGAAAAAAAACTCCATTAGCACTTCTTTCCTTAACCCCTACTCCACTTCACCCCAATTCTGACTCATCACTACTATACCCAACACAAGAGTCAGATAACAGCTAGAATAATTCGTGCTATAAAACAGTGGCAAACTCTGCCTAGGAACTTGATAGGAATTCTGAGATTTACATTGATTCTATTATTGTTTCCAAGTGAATTAGGAGTCATCAGAAATCAAGTATTAGTAAATATAAGAAAATAGAAGTTTTCACATCAACCAATAAGACATCAATAGAAAAAAATACTTCTAAGTGCTACCAGTTAGATGTATGGATAAGGACACAGGTAGATGTAGATATCGATACACATATAATCTTAATTCATCATATAGAAACTATTTCAAATGTACCTGTATGCTGCCAAACTCAACGTTTTCATAATGGAAATGTGCGCATTCAGCCATCTTCGGAAAGTGACCTTTAGTGAAGGGTAACCTGAAGTATATGAAATAAATAAGTGAGACACAAGAGACTGAAATAGTGAAAATTACTAAGCCTAAGGAAAAAATAAAATGGGTTTGGGAGCTCGTGCAAGCAAACTATTTAATAAGCACATGCGCATGAGCACACATATACCCACACAACTCTTTTCAGAAATACACTGAATCAAATGAAAATTACATTTAGTGCACAGGTCAAAACTAAAACAAAAAATTAAAAAGCATCACTATACTCTCCTAATCATGACCCAAGTCAATGCCCATAGAAAAACTATGCTTTCGGTGAATGTTATGGAAACTGAGAAGAGCCAGCTTCTAACCAGAAGCAGCATTCCCACCACAAAACACAAAGCCAGATTGTACCTGTGCATGTTGTCGCAGCCCATCAGTCCTGGATTGGTGGGTCTGGATGCAGAATGAACATTTTTATCCTTGTCTTCTCTATACTTGCAATGAAAACATAGCTATCTAACCCTCTACCAGTGAAAAGATGGTTTTTCTGTTTAAAACTGAAACAGATACCTTAACTTACTTCACTTAAGAATCAACTACTGGCATCCACTTCAGGCCCCCTTGAAGGCAAACCTGAGATACAGCAATTATCATAACTCAAACAACAAACTTGATTTTTCTAAATGAATGAGAACACGTATTAAAGGTACCAAGAAGGATAAACTTGGGTTGTTCCTGTTGAACAAATGCAACCTAATAGACGAGTACATAAAGTGGCTAGAACAAAATTAAAGTATAGTTTTAGACAAGAGATAATCTTCAGACCTATTCCATTAACCATTGAGTCACAATTTAAGGCTCACCAGTATAATTTAATGTATAGACATTAAGAGCTTATTTAGTAAGAAATCTAAACAAAAGTTTTAAGAGAACTAAAGAACCGATTTGCATTTATAGGAATTCATTTAAAAACCACTGTAAAATCATACTTACTTTTTCACATGTTTAACCTTCATACTAGCTGTACTGCCACATGTCTTAAGACTAAGGTCTCCAGGAATCTCAGGAACGTCTGCTCCTCTTGCCTTAAAATTAATAAAGACAAAATATTTATGACTATTCCTTTAGTATGAATACATTTTAAAAAGCAGAGTATAGTTCATTTTAATGGTTCTGTTGATTCTGTATCAAGAGTAATACATATTGATTTAACAAGCTCTTCTTAAAATTATAACTTTCTGAGTTTTAACTATTAAGAAGAAGAAAAAATATTCACCTTATTTAAATATTTAACTTTACTGTGTGAGAAAATATTTTCTGTGTTAAGAATTTTCATGCTCTTATACTCAAATTTCAAAATCAGCTATTATGTGTCTCAGCACAAACTTAAATCTCCCCAGGGAGTTGGTGGAATAAAGTAACCTTGGTTACAATGATTAATAAAAGGTAAAATGGCAATATAAACATAATTAGGACATTACACTATACATTTCTCACACCAAAATTTGGAAGTGACATCTATATAATATTTCTAAATTTACTTCTTTGTCTGACACAATTTTCATGTAGTGACTTTTTAATTCTTGTTATACATTCAACTACAAATTTTCTCACACTCTGAACAAAATAAACAGTATATCCAAAAATCTGTAAAAAAAAACATATGTATGCTATATTAACCATGATTTGTTACATTATTATAGCCAATGCCACATGATCCAATAGGGGAGAACAATATGAGCTGAGCAGGTAAACTGAGTTAAGGGGAGATTCACAAAGAAGACGTAGTAAATATATGCAAGGAATACTACTTAGTCATAAAAAATAACAAAACCTTGACATTTGGGACAACATGGTTGGACCTTGAGGGCATTACACTAAGCAAAATAAGTTAGATAAAGGAAGACAAACATGCCCTGAGCCTGGGTTGCAGGTTCGATAACCAGCCCTGGCTGGGGTCGTGTGGGAGGCAACCAATCCACGTATCTCTCTCACTCGCTCTCTCTCTCTCTCTCCCACTCTATCTAAAAATGGATGTAGCCCTGGCTGGTTTGGCTCAGCAGTTAGAGCATCGGCCTGTGGACCAATGAGTCACGGGTTCTATTCTGGTCAAGGGCACGTACTTTGGTTGCAGTTTGTCCCTGGCCCTGGTCAAGGTCGTGTGGGAAGCAACCAGTCAGTGTCCCTGTCATGTCAATGTTTCTCTCTCTCTATCTCTCTCTCTTCCCCTCTCTCCCTCCCTTTCTCCCACACTATCTGAAGATAAATGGAAAAATATCCTCAGGTGAGGATTTAAAAAATAAATACCAATGTAAAAATATCCTAGGATAAGGATTAACAAAAAAAATCATGCATGAGCAACGTATTTCAAAGGACAAAAAACATGGTACAGAGTGGGGCAAAACTAGGCTTACAGTTGTTTGTATGAACAATAATAATTAATAAATAATAATACAAGAATAAGCTCTGTTTTTCACATACTCATAACTATAAACCTACTTTTACCCCTGAATTTCCCTCCATTTAGTTATTCAATTGAAAGAACTTTATTACACAATATTTTGCAACAACCTGGACCACCTTGTATTGCTAAAATAACGTATGACAGAATTCTTTCTTCTTTTTATGTTTGTGCACCAAAACTTACTGACATAAAGAGGTTTGCTGTACTTAAATACTTATTAAAATTTCTAATAAAAAGGCTTTTCACTCTTTATTCTGTAAATTATTCATAAATTGACTTAACAATAGGACACAGTAAAAAGGGGTATTCTGGATCCAGATGGTAAATAGTGATCACTTTATCTGATAGACTGCAAATTAAAATATTATCTTTTCATGGAGGGACCTGGAGAGTATTATGCTAAGTGAGATAAGCTAGTCAGAGAAAGACAAGTACCACATGATCTCACTTATTTGTGGAATATAATGAACAAAATAACTGATAAATAAAATAGAGACATGGAAGAAGGGAACAGACTGACAAATCTCAGAGGGAAGGGGTGTGGGGTGGCAGGAAGAGATAAACCAAAGAACTTATATGCATATATGCACAACCCATGGACTCAGACAACAGTGCAGTGAAGGGGGGGTGTCAATGGGGGAAAATAGGGAGACATCTGTAATATTTTCAAAAATAAAGATAAATTATATCTAAAAAATATGAAATACTGTCTTGTGAAAACAAGCTTTGTGTGCTAGATAGGTCATCATCCCCAACACATGGAAGGAGAAAATGCGGAAGACACCTAGCCTGTAGTCCACACCCCTCTGCAACCACACTCACTGGACTGTAGGTAGAAACAGGACCTAACATTAAATTCACAACCTATCCAAAGGGGCCTGACAGGAAAACCTCTGCCTAAAATGGCAAAATGGTAAAAATTAGGCAAATAAACCAAACAATGGCCCACAAAGCCTTAGAGGATTTGATAAACCATTTTGAACCAATAACAAGACAGTAACCATGCATTTTTGTAGAGTGGTAGTTCCTCATAGTCCCTAGCAGATTCTGGCCACTTAGTATATTGTTGTGAAGGAATAAATACAACCACTTAAACATAAAAAGTGGTTTCATTTATTCTTTTAAAATTTGAAAAATATAGTATTATTACTCTATTGTCTGATAAATGAATATTTTCACCTGTATATATTTTAACTGAAATGAATTTTCTTAAATTTCTACTGAAAGCACAAAGTTTGAGTTCTAAATCAAAGATTAAGAAAGTTCTCTTTTAGAAAACATTCATTAGCTGACATTCATTCATAGAAAATACACAATTTCCCAATACATTCATGTTATAATAGTCACTTCATTATGCTTCCGAAATAGAATTTATATCATCTTCTCAAAAACAACACCATTAATCAAAGAAAGCTAAGGAGACAATGGAAGGCAGTGGAACACATGTTCATAAAGACACACACCGTTTACATTTAAATTCCCTAGCAATAGCCCTGGCCAGTTTGGCACAGTGGTTAGAGCATTGGCCTGCGGTCCAGAGAGACCTGGGTTCGATTCCCGCTAAGGGACTGTACCTTGATTTTAGTTTGTCCCCAGCCCTGGTTGGGTCATGCAGGTGGCAACCACTCGATGTGTCCCTTTCCTGTCGATGTTTCTCTCTCTTTCTCTCTCTCCCACTCTATCTGAACAAAAAATAAAAAAATGTCCTCGGGTGAAAATAAAAAAAAAAAATTCTCTAGCAATAAACATTTCCTAGAAGATTAGACCATTTCATTCTTCTTTGAATTACAAACATCAAGCACAAGGGACATACTCCAAATAGTTTAAGGGAATTAATAGATTATTACCTATTTTCTCCTCCTCACTCCTCCCAGTATTCAGTTTTATACCTCGTTTTCACTGTATAATTTAACCAATATGTTCATAACCCCTATATGTATAACCCTATCTTCAAAAGGCAATTAAAATCTACCTACTCCACTTACTGGTCCTAGAATTTTCAAAGGGCATATTGCGCTGTAGACACCTTGGTTTCAGACTCTGGCCTCCAGTATTGTGAGAAAATTTCTATTCCTTTAAGTTATTAAAAATAAAAATCTGCCTACTCCACTTAAGCCTATCCTAATAACTTAGCCAAGTGTTTATATTTTCTTTTATTAATCTTCCATAAGCCTCACTCTCTATATGGCAAGTAGAAGCATTGTATTATATTTTTATTCATATTTTATTGCAAATTGCTTTTTGTTCTCTGATAAATTTTTTTCCGCTCATCAAGAGGATAATTTCCTTGAGTGAGAGCTCATGGTGTGATATGTGTACATATGTTATTAATATCTGACATTCTCAACCCTCACTACAACACTAAAATTTAACAGCATTCAACATAAACACTCAAATAAACTCAGTCCTACTAACTACCCAGAAAAGCAAACAGAGACTTTTATCTCTCATTTTATAATTCTCCAGGCTAATGAGCAATATCTATGAAAGTTTATACAAAACAAAAGAAAATTCTTCATTTAAACAGCTCTACTTTTATAAGTAAAAATATTTTCCCATTACTGCTGTTACAGGACTGGGGCCGGCCAGCAGTGTGTGGATTCTTGACTTCGTACAGGAAAGATTTCACAAAACGAGTCCAGGTGATTTTGAGAGTAAGTGTATTAAAAACAGTGAAACAAGGAAGGGCTTAGGACAGAAGAAACAAGGACAGAGAGTAGATGGGGCTGCTCTGGCTCCCTGAGAAGACAGAAAAAAGGGGGCCTTGGAGACAGGTTCAGGGGTTAGCCTGGGACGAGCTGCCACTGCCCATTTCTCCCCTGGTTGCAAGTCTCATGGGGTCCCTTAGAGTTTAGGAGATGCAGCCTGAGAGGAAAGAAGAGAAAGAAGGGAAAGGCTGGTGGGTATGCTCCTGGGAGGGGGAGCACATGCTGGGACCTTCATTTTTTTTTTTTAAGGTTTTTAAAGGGTGGGAGTTAAGGGGAGGTTTTAAGGAAGGATCTCAATAGAATATTCATCAGCTTTTCAGGTGTGCTCTTTCAAGGTCATGGTCTCTACTGACTGGTCAGATCCAGGGCAGGGAGTCATTAATCACTGCAGCTGGTCCTGGCTTCACCCACCTCATGCTGCTTTTCTGAGGCTGGAAGTGACATACAACTGAGACCTAGATGTTATTTTTAAGGAGGGAAGGTCAGGGGGTCTAAACCACATATCAGCCTATGCCAGGGAAGGAAAGGCCACCTGGGAGTAGGGTCAGCCACCGTTTTGCCCTTTGCTAGGCACCCACCCCTTTCCACACTGGTGAGCTTCTGTATCTGGCTGTAAATTGCTCCAGCCAGTTCATTGAGTTATCTGTCTGTTTCCCTGTTCCACTTGCCAAGGAATTTTTCTATCATTTTACTGTCCAGACTCAATATTATTATTATTATTATTATTATTATCATCATTATTTGGAAAGGAAAGCTGTTTATTATTTTAATCACTAAATATACTGATGGCTAGCCCTGGCCGGTTTGGCTCAGCGGTTAGAGCATCGATCTGCGGTCTGGAGAGGCCCGGGTTCGGTTCCCGCTAAGGGCACGTACCTCGGTTGCAGTTTGTCACCGGCCCTGGTTGGTCGTG